GTAGATCTGAAGATCTAGGTTGAAGGAGATCAGAGAAAGGCATTGATGACGGTTCAAAATTGTCAAAATATTTTTACGGTTCATTCTCATGATAAGAGAATGTTTTGTAACAAGGATAAAGACATTAGGACTTTTTAATGGTTTCTAAGTTTGATACAGGGTATATCAAATGGTGCATCTACGGGATAACACATTTAGAAATCACCTATGTATGTGTGAAGTGTATGCCGCTTCTGTGTGTGTGATTCGTTGCTGTCATTTTGAGCTCGTTGAAATTATTGAAGTTTGAGGTACCACTACTTCTTTAATGATTAATCTGTTTTATCTTGAGAGGAATTAATCTACAACATTGGGTACTTGAGGGGATTAAATTTCTTAAGGACACACAGTGGGTTTTGTGGACTCGGATAGTTCTTTTATTTTTCTTTTCATCTTTTATTTTTTTTGTTTTCCTAACCTAAATACACGAGATAACAATTATTGTGTACAGCTTTGAAAAACCAAAGATTTGTTTGGTTTGAAGAGTTGTTCTAATGTATACGTAAGTGAAGAACGAGAAGCATAAGCCATTATTATTTATTTGCTGGAATAACTTAAAGATAGAGTCTTGCAGATTTAATCTCTCTGATTTTGTCCAAATCATTTACTTTTCCATCTCTAAATTTTTATAATTGCGGGACAAAGACACAGGATACTTACCCTTTATCATTTGTTTAGTTAAAAGATATGATGCATGAGAACACAACCAATTACAAAACAAGAAAATCAAATTGTTTCACTTAATTAATACAGTACTATAGGTATCAGATGCACATGTACAACCCAATTTCTTTTCTATTTTATAATTGTGAGACAAGGTGTAGTGCACTCATTGAGTTCACCCGCACTCCCCTGCAATTTAAAATGATAATTAATCTGAATTTTGAAAAGTTCGTATAGAAAATATATGATACGTTTTCATTATAATTTACAACCTTAAATAAATATATGTGTTGAAGTTAAAAGAAAGACACTAAGGATTAGTTTTGTTCGTTGACAAAATTATTTAGTACTATAATTTTGTTAGTAATATATCAAAAAAAAATATTTTGATGTTTATGTTCCTTACCCTCCAAGTGAATGACAACTGTTGTAAAGAAAAGAAAGTAAAGGAGAAAGTGAACTGAAAAATAGAGCAAAAGAGAAGAAAAAGCTACCGTGGTCTTCTTTATTTCTGATGCAACTTGAAACTAAGAGACCTACCTATTAAATAGGCTTACAACGGAACTGAAATACTAAAATTTAGGTACCCTCTAATTACTATATAGCTATTAGTCTGGCACAATATCTAAGCGTACTAAAATAAAGGAAACTAAGACTTGGTCAAGTATCATTGAATCACTTCTCAACACTTCTCCACCCCGATTCAAACATGCAAACTCCAAGTTGACCTCTGAAGAACTTGTGCTTTGCTTAGGGAAGTGACTTCATGAAGATGTCTACTATTTGCTCATTTGTAACACAAGAATTCAAAATAATTTCACCAGTAGAGAAGACCTCAAATATAGTGATAGTGAAAATTTTCAGTTGTACCAGTTGGTTTCTGATTAAAATCTGCAACAAGTCTCCTTAACCAAATTGCTCAACAAGCTACAATATATTCAACCTATGAAGTTGATAAGGCCACCACTTCCTGCTTCTATGAACTTCATGAAACTGCCCCAGATCCAAGATTAAACGAGAAACCATGTGTTCTCTTTCTATCATAAATGATGCATGCATAATCACTATCAGTAAAGCCAGTTAATGTGAAATTTGTTAGCTTAGAATACCAAATCTCATGCTATGTTGTCCCAGCTATATATCTCAGTACTCTATTTTTAGCTCCAAGGTGAAGCTTGCTTGGATTGTGCATAAATCTCGATATGACTCTAACAGAGAAAGCAATGTATGGTATTGTATGGGACAAGTAATTCAAACCACCAACCAGACTTCTAAAATAAGTCCCATTTTCCATTTCAAAACCATCATCACGAAAAACTTCTCATTAATATTCATCGGCATAGCAGCAACTTTACAATTAACCATAGTAAACTTCGTCAAAAAAATTGTTGCATATTATTTTGTTAAAGAAATATGCCTTCAATTTCCTGTTTCACCTCAAGACCAAGAAAATAATGCTACAGACCAAATCAGACATCTCAAATTTTTTATCATGCAGTTCTTAAACTCAATTATGATAGACTCACTCGAACCCATTTATATCATATCGTCAACATAAAAACATACCACCAAAAAACCATTTTTACCTCTTGTTTTACATAAAGAGTAGGCTCGTTTTTACTTTATTCAAAACCATTCTCATGGAAATATGAATCAATCTTAAAGTACCATGTCTGTCACGCTTGCTTTAAGACATAGAGTGCCTTTTTAAAACTTGTAGACCTTATCTTCTTTGCCATTAACTACAAACCTTCAGGCTGTGAGACATAGACCTCCTCTCTCAAATCACCATTTAAAAAGGCAAATTTATCATCGAATTGGTACAGTAGCCAACTTAAATTAGCAGCCAAGGCTAAAAGAGTTCTCATAGTTTTAAATAGGGCAACAGGAGAAAATGTTTCTTCAAAGTTAGTACCTTGTTGTTGGGAATAACCCTTTTGCGATGAGCCTTGCCTTGTGTTTTTGGATGTTGCCATCAGTATTTACTTTTAACACCCATTTGAGCCCAATAGCTTTCTTTCCTTCCGGCAAATTTATCAAGCCCCATGTCTGATTCTTTTGAATAGACAACAACTCCTCTTCCATAGCTTTGCACTATTTATCCTTTCTTTCAGCATCTTCAAAGTAAATACGATCTGAAAGAAGTAAAGCAAATGTACAAGATGTATTGTCAACATATGTGGGATTTGTTTTTTTATCCCTTATTGATCTTCTTAATGCAGTTGTCTTAGCTGTGGGTTATTTCAATGTTGAAAATGTTGCTGGTGCAATTGATGAGACACTCGATAGACTTGCCAAAAAAGGATATGCTCCATACTCTTGATGAACAATATTGTCAGAAGGCAGAAATTTAATATTTGAACTTTCATTTCCTGAATTAAAGTTCCAACTTGCATCTTCATTGAACATGTCATTTTTATTTACCATTTTCTCACTCACTTGATTATATAACTTATAGCCTTTGGACTGTGTTCTATATCCAATAAAGATATATTTTTCACATGTGAGAAAATCCTTTAACAATTTCATTGATGCTAATCTTGAAGAAAACTAGATCATAAAATATTCCTTTTCATAAATCAGGCACAACTTTTCATGAAAACATCATTCATAGATTCAAGCTTCTTTATAAATTCATGTCTTTTATGGTTGATAATCAAGAATAGTTACTGGGTTCATGTGAAATCAATAGTAAAACATGTAATTGATTCAAAGCAATCATAACAAGATTAAAATTATACAATTGAATCAACACAATTTGAACCTATGAATAATTGAATGAAAACCTAATCAATTTTGGTGAAATTGAACTTGGAGAATTGAGAAGTTCTTGGGGCTCAATGGATGAATGAAACCCATTGACGAAGCCCTACATTCCTTGAGGATCAAAGCCCAAAATAAATGGAGGAATTGGAGACTTGAAGCTTGAAACCCTAGGTGTTTTTCATTGATCTTAATTAAGAGAATTTGGAGAGGATAAATGTGGATAGGATTGGGGATTTGAGTGAATGCGAGAGTTGGGGTAGAATGGTAGTTATAGGACTTAAAATTAGAGTTAAATGGACATAGTATAGGTATTAAATTCAACGGAAAAGAGCCAAATACCCTTAAGAAATAACTGTCGGAGAACCGTACGGTTTGGACTAACGGACCGTAGAAATTCCTATGGACCATACTGGTAAATCGTTAGTCGAGTTACTAGGGCCTAAAATTGGACAGCTTTCTACGACACCCTTCTACAGACCATCTAAATTCTTATGGTCCATAGACCTCATCCATAGATATCAACTTTAACCTCAATATCTTACTATGTCTGGAACCTTTCTACGGAACCCATCTATAATCCGTTGAACATCCTATGACCCATCTTGTCCATTCGTATGTCAAACTTCAGAAACTTGAATTTCCCAAATCTGAACCTCATTCCTACGAGTGCCATCTACGATCCTTAGAAACTTCTACGAACTGTAGACTGGTCTCATAGGATTCAACTAGTAGCCAGAAATAAGAAAATTTCCTTTCCTTTTGACTTTCCAATTTTCGAGGTGTTACACCATCGACAATGCTTGTCGGTAATATGACTTACAATATTTTTTTTCAAACAAATCATTATTTCCAATGGAACCAAAGGTATTCGGAAGTACATATTATGTTCGAGATATATGACCATTTGTTTCTAAGTTGGACCCTAAGGCATTGAAGTATTTTTTTTCTTGGATTATTCTCGTCTTCAAAAGGTGTAATGATGTTATTCTACTCAACTTTGAAAATATATGGTGTTAAATGATGTGATATTTTCAGAGATTACACCATTTTTCTATACTTCACCTAAAACCACAAGTCAGGGGGAGGAAGATGAGTGGTAAGTTTATCAGGTTACTTGTGTCACTGCCACAAAAGAGACATTTAGTGGCAATACATTTTGCTTTTAGCAGCAATATTTATTGCTGCAAAAACTTTTAGTGGCAATAAGGTTAATGCCATTGCATCTAGTGTCGCTAAAGCCTTTAGTGACATTTATATAGAGTGCCGATAAATATTCATACTATTGCTGCTAAAAGTAATTAGCCTTTAGTGGCATTTGGTAAATATTCATTTTGTTGCCGCTAAAATTAATTAGCCTCTAGTAGCATTTATTACTTATAGCAGCAATAAAATTGATATTTAGCGGCAATTATCATTATTAGTAAATTTTTTATATTTTGTGACATTTGTTATTACCGGTAAAAATATGAGAATTGCCAGAGACCTATTGTAGTGACAATTATTATGGTAAAACAAAAGATAATAATTCAAGCAAGTCATTCATATAAAACAAGATCAATCAAATACATCAACTTTCTTGTATTTTGGTGGTAAAAAAAGGTATGAATTATCTAAACAGTAAGAATCATGTGTTCAAGTTATCAAAAAGAGAGAGATGATGTGTTCAACAATGAAAAAAGTAGGAGATTGAGTCCTTATTTCTTTTCCCCAGTGTGAATCACGACCATATGTGCAATATCGAAGGATCTTTAGATATCTGTAGAAAAGTTGTTGTGCTGCCAGAAATAAAGAAGAAAATTAAGTTGATCTAACAATCAAATAAAAATTTACTCAAGTAAACAACACGAACAAAATACACAGTAGATAGAAGCTAATGCAAGCATTGGACTTCATTTTTTCTAGGGTCCTTGTAATAGAATGATGTTTCATACTCTAATCCACAATTCATACAAAAGAACAAAAGTTATATGCCTTGTCTCAACAATCTAACACAAGTAGAAGCCAAGATCCACCTTTTGCACTATTTCAAAAACAAGTAAATAACCTTCATTCAAAATAAGTCACCAAACTAAATGATATCATATAGTAGTCGCAAAATTGCAGCATTGCAAATTTTGCAAGCAGATTTCCCGAACAGTGTCTCAGAACGCAAAGTGAGGAAACAAGAAGGTCGTAGAAATTCAAATACTAAATTACTGTGATATCATCTATTTGCTGGAGGAGTCTACGCCAATAGAGTGCAGATACCAACTTCAGGAAAACTGTTTCCTGATGGTAATTTACAAATGAAGAAATACAAGACTTTTTGTATGCTAATCATTGGTTAAAGCTAATGGATGCTAACACCAACAGTAGCATTTGCTACTCTTTCTGGTGCTTTCAATTTGAAAATAATAATCAACCCAATTATATTGCTAATCACCAGTAATCGTATGAATGCAATCACCTAAGAGATTAATTACTCTCTGGGTGCGGGGATAGAGGAATATATTTTTAATTTTTTCATGTTTGGTTCATCAAAATTTTTAAAAAACATTCTCTAGGAATATATTTAGATTGTTTGGCTAAGCTGGTTCGTATAACATAGTTGGAGTTTTAAATTTGATGGCCTGATAAAATGGGAACCTCGGGAAAAACATAGAAGAGTGAGAAAGAACCCAGAAATTCCTGGGTTCTGGTCCGTTAAAGCCGCTGGAGTGGGATTTTTCCCACCATAGAGGGACCACCACAGCAGGAATTTTTCTGCCAAAGCGGGACAGGGCGAGGCAGAACCTCACCCAGCCTCCACTGTTTTCCCTAAATATATCTTTTTCTTTTTTTTTGGACCCCGAATGGGATCCAATCAAATCCCTACAATCTTTCCAGTGTTCAGTAATCAAGATGGTTTATAAAAACTTAGGGATTCACCTTTTGCTATGGAAAAACAAGAAATCAAGCATCCATGTGCTACAAAACATAGAAAATCGAAAGATAAAAACAAGTTGTCTTAAATTACAAGCCCAAGAGGGGGAAAGGGAAAGCTGATCAAGGACTCTCGGACTGGGTGGTGCCAATTTCTGAATCGAGGTTCTCTGGGGTGTCATGCCATTCCAAGCCTCATTCAGCATAGAGAAATCCCTGAAGTCCGGTGGCTCGAGTCGGGGAAGTTTCTTATCGGGGGCCACGCAAGTAAATAGGGTCTTGATAGTCTTCCACATCCGAAGCATCAGACGATCCCTGACCACACACTTTCTCTTCTCCTTTCGCAGCTGGCGGTGGAGCATTTCGACCTCCAAGGCAGTGCTGGGTGGAACCGGAGTGAATTCAGTATAGGCACTCCCAATCCTCTCCCGGACAGCCTCTAAGTCTTCCTCAACCCGTGCACCTGAGAGTGGGTCCTCGTCTTCCGAATCCTCGGCCGCCTTGCTGCTGCTAATCTTGCTTATCCTCCTCCTCCTCCTCTTACTCCTAGAAGTGGAACCTGACTTGACCAAAAGAGGGTGAAGGGGGGGATCCATGGGAAGTACCTCATCAGCATCAAAGAGCGGCACTCCCGCTCGCTTGCACAGCGCAATAATGAGTCCTAGAAAGAAGAAGGCCTTCTTGTTGCCCCGATAAAACATCTTCCATTCAGAGATGATCTGTGCTCCCACATTTATCTGGATGCCCTGTATAGCACACGCCATCACCATAACCCAGGGAAAGGTCACGTCGGTGTGGTTGCCCGACGGGCGGATCCTCCTAGTCACCAAGTGAAGCCATCTCTTAGCATCGGGTGACCAATCTGTGTTAATAATACCCTCTGCAGTAGCCCAGTATACCTGATCCCAGTGCGTGGCCTCAAACAGAGTATCCCTCAACCACTCTAGATCCATCTTCCTTAGCTTGGCCTCAAACTCCGCGTTTGAGGCATCGGGTACGTCTAGTACCTCATTAATAGTAGTAGCATTCAAGGGGATGTCGACTCCCCGGATACGAATGAAGGGTAATTGTCATCCCAGCGGACGGTAGGGAGGATGGCATAAAACTCTCTCACCCAAGTGGAACATGCATCTGGGGGAGCCTCAGTCAACTGAATCCACCCGAACTCTACCAATCGAGCATAGAATGCAGGCGCCTTCTCCTTTAGCTTATGCAGCACGAACCCTCTCTCGTAACAAAACCCAATGTTGCGATAGTCGTGATACTTTTCCCGACTCGCGGCATCGGGGAATTGGATGAAGGGTAGGTATTCTTCATTTTGATCTGCCATTTAGAAGCTTGCAATAAGTTGAAGACAAGTTAGAACAATATAGGACAGTTGGGGCTAAAACAAAAAGAGAGAAAAGTTGGTGTAAGAGTGCAGGCCACTGGTCTGGCACATCCCGTCATAGCGGCTAAAATCCCGCCACAGCGGGATGATAAAGGCCGCCACAGCGGGATGAAAGCCACCATAGCGGGATGAAGGCCGCCACAGCGGCCTTCATCTGGGACGAACACCAAGCGTGACAATGGCGTCTTTTCGTCCCAAAACCCCCATTTTCGTCAGAATTTCAGCAGATTAGAGTATATCAACTACCCTAAAACCTATTTATGCATTTATTTCAACAAAATAAACTCAAAACAGTGCCCAGATTCTAGTTTTAAGCAAATGAGCGTCTCAACTTCCTCCACCCGTTTTTGTATTGATTTACCCATATTTTTACGAAATCCCTATGCCCAGAACATTGTGGAAACGTTGGGGACGTAAGGGAAGTGACCATGCTACGTATAGTATACCAATCTAGCAGCCTAGTTCAAAATTTCAAAATAACTACCCCAAAACCGATTCTAACCTATTAATTAGTAGCATGCAGTTGTTGTTAGTTAAATAATGAAGTAAAGAGTGTAAGGAATAAGAAATGTACCTGAGTTTCGACGTTCGGGGGAGAGTGATTTGGTAGAGTTTGGGAGAGTTTAGGGAAGTTTGGGAAGAAATGGGAAAATTATGTCCCTTTTCCCCCTTTTTCTTTTGCCCGATCTCCCAGCTCAGCGAGAGATCCCCGCCACAGTGACCCCGCCTCAGCGGGAGGCTGTCGCTCTGGCGGGCCAGGCCAGGTAATTTTAAAACCATGTCAATCTTTGTGTGTTGCATCAGAGTTTCTTCTAGTACTTGAATATAGTACCTTTTCGTGTGTCAATTAACTGAAAGGTCGCGATTAATCGTACTTTCTGTGGTGGATCAATTCGGTATTTGGAAGTGTCAGAAATTAGAGTGTGTGATGTCCGTAGCCTAGTCGTTCGGGGATGAACGAGGGGTAAATTGGTATCTATTGTAACGACCCGAACCGTCGTTAATTAGGACAAGCAAAGATTCGAGAAAATCTGGGCCACTAACCCGCCAGGGTGGGCCAGGTGCCACTGGGGCACCGCCGCAAGGCGGGGTAAGTTAGCGCTAGAGCGGGATAAGCGAGGCAGAATGTAAATTTCAAAAAATCCTTTTTTCTCCATCTTTCTAAAATACCTAAATAAGTCGTAAAACACCCTAGAAACCTCAGAAAAGCTTCTTTAAGCTTGGGAAGGAGGGAGAAGGAGATTTATAGCGTGGGGATGGTGAAATCTTACGAATTCTTGGCTAAATTCACCGTCACGAACCCAGAAAACTCGAATCGAAGTCAAAAACTCCATACAACAGCTTGGCGCCCAGGTAGGCTAGGTTTATACAATTGAGTAGTTTTAAATATGTGCTTACTACGTGATATATGTAAATCAATTGTAGGGTTGTGTGTAGACCTTTCTGCACCGAGTAAATTACATGAATAATCCTTCGAATTCAAATTATGTGGGTTTATGCCTTGTGAGGAGGAATTGATGAGTTGCTAGAAAAACCTAGAATTGATATCGTGGATAGAATTGGGTCAAGAATAAGGACATGAAATCAAGAGTGGAACTAGATTCATGAATGTATGCTACATTCGATAATTGAAGTGATGAAATTGAGGTATTATGATGAATGGTGATTAAAAGCTAATGAGAAATCCTAATGATGAACTAGGGTTGAGTATGGTCAATTATTACATATGCGATAGAGATTGAGGAGTAATTCGTAGGTGATGGTTGTAATTCTATGATTGTGTATTGTATGTTTGTTCTTGCTTCATTATGATATTTGTATATGTATGAATGTTGCAATGTTGATCACACTTGTTGTAAATGAGATAGATGAATTATCGTTACCATGAAATTAGGAATTAAATGTATGATCTTGATGATGTACTGGTGTTTGTGATTGTGGTGTGTGAATGGGATCGGATTGCCACGTTCCGGCATAACTAACTTCGATCGGATTGCCAAGTTCTGGCATATTATGGGATTGGATTGCCACATTCCTGCATAATATGGGATCAGATTGCCACGTTCAGGCATAAACATGGGATCGACTGCCACGTTCCGGCACACTAACTTGGGATCGGTTGCCACGTTCTGGCATGCTAACTGTTTGAGTTTGGATTCCGTGAGAGGACCAATGATGTGATATAAATGTGAATTATTCGTTGTTCGTGTACTTGTTGACAATATTGTATACACTTGATATACGTTGTGAGTAAAGTATTGTATTGGTAATTTGTATATGGTGTACTTAGTGGACCCGTGTTATGACGATTATAGTTGGTTGTTCGTGGTTTGTAATGGCGAGGGTAGAGATAGTGAATGCGATGGAAAATGCTTAGGTGGATTTCACCTTGGGGAAAAGAGGTTGGTTTAGTGTTAAGAAAGCTTGAATCAAGGTATTATGTGACTATGGTTAGTAATGTGACGAGGAAGTAAGGTAGGACGTGTACGGTTAGTTGACTTGGTGGTGTTTGTACTTCGGAAATTTCTTATGTGTTTAGAATGGTTAAGCTATGATCAAGAATCTGGTAAGTGGGTTGATTAAAAAGGGGTTAGTAGTTAGAATGCTAGTGTGATTGGAGGTATTTCAATGAAAGGGGTGAAGGTGGAGAAGTGAGTGGTTTATTCCATGATCTTACTAGTTGGTTTCTTATGTTATGTGGTGGGCGTCGGGTTGACCGTTGATGCCTACCAGTACCTGTGTTTTGTGCTGATACTACTCTTGCTATGTCTTTTGATATAGTCTGGATGCAGGATTGGTGACCTTTCATTAGGTGAAGACGAAGAAAATCTCCAGCAGCTTCTATTCTTCCTTCCGCATGGTGGGAGCTGTGTCTTTTATTTATCCTATCCAGTTGTACTTTTAGTAGCTCTTGTACCTATTTAGACTAGATCCATTGTGAGTTGTTTAAATTACCTTGCAGTTTAACTAATAGTGTGCCTAAAAGCGTTATTTATAAAATTATAGTGTTATATTTATTTCTGTTTTCTTAAAATTTTCGCATGTTTTTACTATTGGGATATGAGGGTTCTCTTACTTAGGTGTTAGAGTGGGTGTCCGCATGGCCCGATGGGTTGGGTCGTGACAGTTGCTATTCTTTTGGATCCTCCTGTGTAAGCCATTATTTGTGTAGCTCTACTGATTTTATTTGCTCGACTACGCTTCTAGAATGAGAAAACAAAGCATCAGTTCTTACTAGTACAACATATTACTTAAGTTCTTTGAAAAAAACAGTGAAAGAACTATGTAAAAAGAATGTAATATCGAAAGCACAACTTGAGACTGGCTGCACAAAACAAACTATACACTAGGGACAAATTGTTGAAATGGGAATGTTTGTTGATCCTAGTTGTCCTCTGTGTTGTTATGGCTAATGAGAGTCTCTCTCATCTTTTCTGTGCTTGTACTGTCTCTGCTCGTATATGGCAGAAACTACTCACCGAGTATTGAATCCCAGTGAAGCTACTTACCTATTTTGTACTCCACGAGGTAGTTATCTCTGATGCTATGAGGTTAGAGATAACTATTTTATAAAGTAATAGAAAATAGATGCATGCAGTAGCAGCATTCTAGCACAAATAGAAGCAATGGCAGCATTCTAACAGTAAATTTGTATTACGAAAAAAACAATTATAAAGTAGTGTAACTATTTAGGAGTTCAAAACATATTTTGGAAATAAAAATACAAAGTTACAGGAGATTTATAATATAGGTTCTACTAATCAAGAAATGTACTCACTAACCTTCGCTTTTTCAAAAAGTCAATACGAGACAAGAGGGTTCCATTGATCCCTTGGTATGTGACTTGGTCTATTTTTCATCAAGGCATCTTTGGTCTTATATTTGGTCACATACAAAGCCTTCAAGTCACTTTTATAGTCTCTCCATTTTTTTCCTATCGACTTCTTCACAAACTCTTCTCCACATATCGGAATGGAGAACTTTTTCTGAAAAGATAGACAAAAGTTAACAAGATAAGATCATGTATAAAAAGAAATGATACTTAGCTTGTTAACAATAATAATTTTATACCTTCACAAACTCCACCAACTTTGTCTTTTCTTCGTCGTCAAATACTCGCCAATCATTTAGAGAGGAAAATATAACAACTCACTACTACTTGTATCCACAATTAACAAGCAGATGTATGATTTTTCATATTTCTGGTAAGAGGTTGATAGAGAGCCTAAGAAAATTAAGAGGAGAGCTCTCTACGTTCTTGGGGATGTATGCAACTATCAAATGATGGAATATAATCCTAGATTCAACTAGTACTAGATACATTGTCATGTAATTAGATCTTATTATGGAGATAATCTATAAATTTAAGTTTCAAGAAACAACATGGCTCATTGTTCAGCTCAACAACAGTGTCAATAGAATTGTTATCCTCAGATATTTGGGCTTGAGAGAAGCTCCGAGCTTTTATTAATTGTTGAATGTATGGTCGTACTTCTTCATCATGACGTTTTTCGGTTACCAATCTGCTACCAACTCTATTTTGCATTTTCGTTCTACTTATCTATTCTCTTCAAACCTGTGGAAGAAAGTCAAGAATGCAGATTTGAAGAAAAGATTCAGGGAACAAACACCATCCTTAATCAAATTAGAACTCAGAAAACTCTCCATGACAAATTCAAGTGTTATATGATGGCATAATGCTCTGGACTGTTTCTTACAACCAAGTGCTCTTGTTATGTGTTCAAACATTTTATAAGAAACCATTTGCTTTATTTAATAGGGAAATTTTTTCGCTCCATATAAGAAGTTATTAACTTAGAAATAGTGTCCTAACATTAATCCTCTCATACCTACTATTTCTTACAACCAAGTTCTCTTATAACTAAAATGAGAGAGAGAGAGAGAGAGAAAGTTCAATCTCCAACCACATTGATATAAGAAACGTATATAGACCAGAATTTAGAATTAAGTTTAGTAACTAACAAACTACTGCTTTCCAACTAAACCTTTCCATAACTGTCAGTCACTCACACACAAAGGCCTTTACAAAACTAGCCCCTCTCATGTCAACTAATCAAAAACGATTAATTTTTTTATGACCATGGTGTCTGAGCCAGCTTTTGCACCTCGATTAATTCCACAAGATACCTTCGAGTACAAAAAATGGTCAGTTTTCCTCATCATCCAGTGTTACAGTAAATTTGATGAATTTAGTTTATTACAACAAGCAGAATTTCTAGCTGTACAGAGCACCTTATTGGGTTGATTTAGGTTTGATGTCAAAATCCTACTAAATGAGTTACAGTTGCAGCTTTTCGAATCAATAGATATGAAGGAATCAATCATGAATCAACAATTTAATAGTTAATCAAAAGCTAGAAAACTGAGCCAGATTATAAGTTTCCCTACGGCTATTCTGAAAGGGAAAACTTCTCCCATAACATCCTCAAGTTTCAAACAACAGTTTTTTCAGCAATGTTTTCCTCAAAGTTATACCACGCTAATTAATGAAAATCAGAAGAAAACTAAAGATAAAAAAGCATAATTATAAGTTGATAGCATATGCATGTCAGCATTCATCAAAATAACACTGAGAAAAGAAGGATTACCAACTAGAATGAGATATTGAGAGATCGAGAAAAAGAGATTACCGCTTATTCTACCTCAATTCGAGCAGAAAGAAAAAAAATTGATGCATGCTTCAACTCAGATCCATCGTAGACATGGAAGGATGCATCAAATTAACTCAATCTTCAGATGGAATGGAGAAGATAGATCGAGTATTTTGAAAATTTGAGAATGAAATAAAATTTGACTAAGAGAATGTTTGGGTATTTGAGGGTAAAAGAGGATATTTCTTTTTATTGGCTTTTAAAAGTAATTGTTATTAAGGGTTATTTTTAGTGACTTTAAGGTTAATTGCCGGTACATGTTGCTTATAAACACTATTTAGCGGCAATTATATTATCGCCGCTAAATAATTGCCACTAAATCCTACTTTTGTTGTAGTGTGTTGTGGAATCAAGTGATGTTATTCTTCAATCTCCTAGTGACTCTATGACATGTTCCAACAAGACTGTCAATTTTTCAAGTTTATTCGTGGAATCGAGAGACTGATGATACATGCCCTGCACCAACTCATCCTCCAAAAAATCTTAACCTCTCTATTGATCTTTATAAAGCTACAAGGACTTGCAAATCCACATATACTATTGCTAATTTTGTTTCCAATGACCAATTATCTCCTATATTCTAGATCTTTGATTGCTTCTCTAGAATATGTTTTTGTACCCAAAATAGTGAAGGAGACTTTGCATCATCCTGGATGGTCAAATTCGATGCTTAAGGAAATATATGCATTACATGAAAATCACACATGAGATTTGATGAATTTACCCAATGTGAAGAAACCAGTAGGATGTAAGTGGGTGTTCACAGTTAAAGTTAAGGCCAGGCTTGTAGCTAAAGGATATGCTCAGACTTACAGGGTGGAATATTCCGACACTTTTTCTCTGGTTGCCAAACTCACTTATGTACTCTTGTTCATTTCTCTAATTACTTTTGGTAATTGGCCTTTACATCAGTTGGATATCAAGAATGCATTTCTTCATAGTGATCTTCAAGGGAAAGTGCATATGGACCAACCATCCGGGTTTTTTTCTCTAGAAGAGTATAGGAAAGTCTGTCATTTGAAAAAGTCCCTGTATGGCTTGAAGCAAAGTCCACAAGCTTGGTTTGGCAAGTTCAGTGAGGTAGTTTAAGAGTTTGGACTGAATATGAGTAAATGTGATCACTCTGTCTTCTACCAACAATATGAAGTTGACACTATCCTTCTTGTTGTATAAATGACATTGTCATCAGAGGAGGTGATTGTGAGGGTATCTCTTCCCTTAAGTCTTGCTTGCATGCTCAGCTTCATTCGAATGACTTCGGCCAGTTGAAATATTTTTTGGGAGTAGAAGTAAATAAAATCAAGAAGGGAATTCTTCTTCTATCTTAGATAAAGTAAACTCTTGACCTACTTGCAGAAACATAAAAAATTTGTAGCCAAACCTTGCAGTACTCTAGTGGTTCCCAATGTGCATCGTATGAAAGATGAAGGCGGCATTTTGATAATCCAGAGAGGTATAGGATAGTTAGGAAGTTAAACTACTTCATAATGACTCATCCGGATATTGCCTTTACGGTGTTGTAAGTCGGTTTATGCTTGCACCTACGGTCAAACATTGGGAAACCTTGGAACAGATTCGATGTTACTTGAAAGGAGCTCTTGCACTTGGCATATTGTATAGAAATCACAATTATACTCGTATTAAGTGTTTTGCGAATGTTGATTGGGTTGGTTCCAAAATTAACAAAAGATCCACTTCATGATATTGTATCTCGCGCATCAGATTAATGTATCAACGCTTATATTATTGTATCCGTTTGAGGGATTTCTGTAATTATAAACTTTTAAGGGATAGATTGTAATTTTGCCTTAAAAGTATGTGATTTATGTAATTTACCCATATAAAGTTTAAAATCAAGTGCAACTTTGCCCGTTATGCTAATCCTTTCTTTATTAAACTAGTACCTAATTATGTATCACAATTCACAATAATCTTTTTTGAACTTATACGAAACTTACTCTGTTGGTTTTGGTTTAGATTTTAATAGGAATGCAAGTTTAAGAATTTAACTTACAGAAATATATACTTGTATATTTTCAATATTTCTATATTTGTAATGACGATAAATTAAAAAATATGATCACTCAATCCCTAATGTGAATTATTTTTGTGGTAAAATATTTCCCAACATAACTAAAAGATAAATAAAAATATAATAAAAACAACATTTAAAAGAAGTATTAGTGTATTATTGATATATATGAACAAAAATATTTAATTATTTTTAATATTAAATTTTTTTGAAATTGTTATAAATGCATTAATGTGGATGTTTTCCGTAACTCTTTTTGAAGTTCATGTACGAAATAAATGAACACCATTTAATTCATGTAACTTGAAAAGACATTTTGTACTATAAATAGGCGATGATTATTCTATAAAAGATACAATCGAAAAGTACAGAAGAAAGAAATAAGAAAACATTCTCTCCCATATATCTTGCTAATATTTCACAACACGTTATTAGCACGAGTCTCTAACCAATTGAGACCTACTTAATTCAGAATTATCATTTTTCCTAAAAGTTGGTCAATTTTCTTTCCGAGTCAGTTTTCATCATGTCGAATTTGTCAAAGCTTAAATTTGTGACACTTAACATTTCTGGAAAGAATTATTTCTCATGGGTATTTGATGTTGAAATTCACCTTACCGCTAAAGGTCTTGGTGATAGTATAATCAAAGGAAATAAGGCATCAAATCAGGATAAAGCGAAAGCTATGATTTTCCTTCATCATCATCTTGATGAAAGCCTGAAGGTTGAATAATTGACGGTAAAAGATCCACTTGAATTGTTGATAGGTTTGAAAGGGAGGTATGAGCACCTCAAGGCAATGGTATTGTCAAGAGCTCGTTATGAGTGGATGCACTTACGGTTTCAAGATTATAAAACCGTAATTGAGTATAATTCTGTTGTAATTAGAAGCACTTTCCAATTGAAATTATGTGGGAAAACTGTAAAAGATGAGGACATGTTGAAAAAGACACTAACTACTTTTCATGCCTCTAATATGATATTATAGCAGTAATATTGTGACAAGGGTTTTCAGATATACTCTGAATTGGTCTCATGCCTTCTGGTGGCTGAGCATCATAATGACCTTTTAATGAGAAATCATGAAGCTTGTCCCACTGGAATTGCTCCATTACCAGAAGCAACTGAGGTAGAAACCCACGACCAGTCTGAAATAAGACAAGATAATCGGGGCCATGATAATTTGTGTGAGCGTGAAAAAGGCAAAAGATGATATAATAATCATCGAGGTAGTGGTCAGAACAAAAGGGAGAACAATATGGATTCTCAAAATAATCCTTTTAAAGAAAAAGACAATCACAGTCATTGTTGTGGCCTTAAAGGTCACTGAATAATATGAATGTCGGGCACCTGTTGTATCAAAATTTCTTCAATAGAAAAGGAAATAAATGTGGTGCCTCCTCTTCTAATGCCCGGGTGGAGTCACATTTGACTCTCAAATATGATGTTCAGGCAAGGTCTTCTCAAAAATACGATGAGAATGTTGAGGCAAATTTAGCACTGAAAGATAATTCTTTTGATGGCCTCGATGATATTACTCATCTAGAAGTTGAGGACTTCTTTGGGGATCGCAACTGAAGATTGATAATTGAACTGGAAAATGAATAATGTTGTTATATATTTTTAATGTCTTACTTAAAGTTCATGCACTTAAATTTTCTTTTGTTAGGTTTCGTACGTCTTATTATGTATTTTTATTTTATGAAGATAAATAAAATTTCTCAGTCTTCAGTTGAATCCAAGATGAGTAATGGAGATATGTGTCTTCGGAACAGTGCCACGACTAACACGATACTAATTACGATAAAATAAATATTTCTCCCATTTGATTATAAAAAGGGCATATGTTAATACAATATTTGGTAGTGCAAAATTGATTAGGGGTCTAGAAGAGTCACGTTATTACTACTTGGAGGAACATTATTGGTAATTGATAATGCATTGTATTGTAGTAAGTCTCAAAGAAACTTGTTAAGTATCAAGGTTATTCGCGAAATGGTTATCATGTTGAGACTGCGAATGAAGGAAAGATTGAATACCTTTATATTACTACAATAAATACGAAGGAGAAGACTATGCATGAAAAATTGCCTGCACTTTCTTCTGGATTGTACCGTATAAATATTGGTATGGTTGAATCGCATGCCGTAGTAAATAAAAGACTTACTAATTCTAATGACTTTGTCATTTGGCATGACCGGTTGGGTTATCTCATATATAATATGATGCGCAGAATAATTGAGAATTCACATGGGCATACCTTGAAGAACCAAAATGTTCTTCAATCAAAGAAATTCTCTTGTGCTGGTTGTTCTCAAGGAAAGTTGGTTATCAAACCATCAGTGGCTAAGGTTGGGGTGGAATCCCCTGCATTTATGGAATGGATACAGGGTGATATATGTGGGCCTATTCACCCTGCATGCGGACCATTTAAATATTATATGATCTTGATTGATGCATCTACAAGATGGTCACATGTGTGCTTATTATCAACTCGCAATATGACTTTTGCGAGGGTGTTGGCTCAAATAATAATGTTAAAAGCACAATTTCTAGATTATGCAATAAAAACAATCTATCTTGATAATGCTTGTGAGTTTACATCTCAGGCAGTTAACTCAAAATGGTCTAGCAGAGTCATTGATTAAACATCTCCAATTGATTGCTAGACCATTGTTGATGAGGACAAAGTTACATGTTTCAATATGGAGGCATGCTATTTTGCATGCAACAACACTTGTGTTCATAAGGCCAACCAACTATCATGACATCTCCTCTTTGCAATTGGTTTTGGTCAGGAGTGAAGCATTTCCCACTTAGAATCTTTGGTTGTGCGGTATATGTTCCAATTGCTCCACCACAACACACAAAGATGGGTTTCCAAAGAAGGTTGGGGATATATGTTGGGTATGAATCTCGTTCTATTATAAAATATTTGGAACCTAGAACTGGAGATTTATTTACGACAAAGTTTGTTATTGTCATTTTGATGAATCGGTATATCCACCATTAGGGAGAGAACAAAAGCAGTTGGGAAATGAGATAGATTGAAATTCACTTTCACTGTCTCATTTAGATCCTTGAACAAATCCAAGTGAGCATGAAGTTAAAAGGATGATTTATTTGCAAAATATTGCAAATCAACTGCCG